CGATGAAGTCGTCCAAGATTTCGAACAGGATAAGATGGACACCATCGAAGACGAAGGCGACAAGGTAGTAGACAACACCCTCGCAGGCTGGGGTAGCTGGGCCGGTGACGGTGTCAGCAAGAAACAGCAGAAGAGACAGAAGCGTGATCTGACTACTGTGGAGGGTGTGAAACCCCAGCAGCGCAAGGACGCCAAGCTTGATCGGGTGATCATCAACCAGAAGCGTGTCAAGAAGGTAAGACAATCTTTTTATTTTATCAGTGGTGACTGTCCGCTAACTTTGTTATAGAACGTAAAATACATGGCAAGCCAGTTGCCACATGAGTTCGAGACCAAGCAACAGTACGAACGGTCTCTGCGCATGCCTCTGGGTCCTGAGTGGTCTACCAAGGAGACTTTCCAGAGTGGTACCAAACCTCGTGTCATGATCAAGCAGGGCATTATCAAGCCTATGCAGAAGCCCATGCTCTAAATGTATATATCTGGGGTTGGGAATGTGTGTTCAGTTGTATATCCAGTGCCATGAACTGGCACGACCCATTACCACGACGTGTTACAGTTTCGTCAAAAAAAGCATCTACATTGTTCACCTTGTCACAGCCGTAGTTCGTATACGAGTAATATATCACCTGGTCTCTACTGTGAGCATGCGACGGCGTCACTTTACAATTGCCCAGCCTTTCCACATGGGATCAATGTTGTCACGCTGCAGAATGGTAATTATTTATAGATGGGAATGTTAGTCTGCCGGTGCTGGGTGAACAGCCTGCTGATCAGGGCATGCGCGATGAAAGGCAAAGATGTATGGTATTGTCTGTAAGAATCATAATCTCGTGATTAAGGTGGTATAGACGCTAAACTAAAGGATATTGACCGTGTAAATATTCAACGTGGATGTTGTGTTTACTACTTTTCTACTCCACACGGTGATCCCTTGGCAAAATGTTGCCTGGACTTAAAACGTCTTCACTTGCAATATCAACCAACTCAATTAATATCTAACTTACTACATCTACTTCATCTTTAATGTAAGTTTACGGTGGCCATGTTTACGCCGCATTCCTGTTGGTGGGTTTCACGTCGATACCCGCATGTTTTGCTGTGACGCCCTACATTGCTGAGCACACGCTGCCCAAAGCCCCGGGCCATTCTTCCCACTGTATCGAGGATTTCACACTGCTAACTCGCATTATGATCGACAGCTGCGGATTCTTTCTGCCATTCACAACAAATCAGCCCGTGTCTTGCCCCAATTTGGACGAGAGCTGAGCACCGAGGAATTAGTGCCATCTCCTGGAATCCATACATACTTGTAAGTCTACTGCCCTCGCCCTGGAACTTTTGCCTTTTGTCAGTCCTTCGTCGCTCTTTACACGCCCTAGAAGTCGCCCTCGTCTAGTGATTCATATCCAGTTGGAATGAATTGAGGAATAGCAAAGACTCTATATACAATTTCGATCTCTTTCATTCTTTTATCTGTATACGAACTATTTGCATCATGGAATCATGCTCCAAATGGAAGGCGACAGCCTTGCTAACTTGGCTTCTAGCCGCGGAATCAGTCAATTGTCTGCCGCGTGTGGGAACTGCAGTTAGAGGTATACTGCAGGGAACTGCCACAGAGCCTGAGACGGCTTATAGAACCCAATATCCGCCTACGAACGAGGAGGATAGACTATTTATTCCGGAATCTCACCCTGTACGTTTTGTAGACATGCATTGGGTTGATACGGCGTGATGTTAACCTTTAAATCAGGAATATCGCGCGGCTTTGGAGTTTGACGGCCGTCCACCGCAGCCTCCATTCCCGCAGTTTCAACTCGAAAGGTTTGTTCACGGGTTGAACGACTTGCTAGGTGTGCCAGAACCTACTACTGCTTCGGCACCAACAGTTGCAGCGGAACCTGCTCCTGTCCCAACGACAGCTTCGCAGCAGCACTCACAAGCTACGGCGCTGCCTGTTCCAACCGTCGGAACTACTACAGAATTACCAAAAGCCGAACAAGCTGCGACCTCGATAGCACGTATGTGTGAATGAAAAAGCATGGGTTCTTTTATGCGGCATGCTAATTTTCACAGAACCTGTTCCCACAGTCTCTTCTCCTCCCCCAGCTCAAGCAGATCATCCTAAGACCATGAACGGTCAGGACATCTTCAGGCCTGTTGCGACTGGGGCTGTTCCTGCCAACATCAAGTCGAGGCATGATCACCCTGTGCAGAACAAGCATGTAAGCTGGCTCCAATTTGGATTATCACATGAATTGAATACTAATTTCATGCATAGGCCAACGCCACCGGTCCAATTGAGACCAACAAGTTCTACGCTGGGCTTTTCCTGGGCACTCAGACCAATGCTTCCTTCACGCAACCCTACTCCCTGGCATGGTCCAAGGGCGGTGGTTCACTTAAGAGCTGGGGTATGGGCATTTCCCATGTCGAGCCTCACATGCTTGCCTACGGTCCCAAGAATGATAAGATTCCCGGAGAGCCAGTGTCATACTATATCAACCCAGTTGGACTTCAACACCTAATTCTCTCAGCAACTGAGCTCGGCGAGTCCAGTGTTATGGACATTGAAGATCCTAAGGCTTTCTCTGCCCATGCTGTCCTGAAGCGTTCTGGAGGCTCAGCTCAACAGATTACTTTCCCCGTTGTGCAAGGCATGGGTTACACCACTGCTATCTACAATGACTTGCAGCCTCTTATTGAGAGTGGTGTCTTTTTCAGAAAGGTTGTTAGCGCTGGTTCGCCCCGACATGGTATCTTCAAGTACAAGGTTGATCTCGAAGATGACACTACATGGCTCATGTATGCCACGCCCACCGACGGTAAAGACCCGAAGTTCAGACTGGTCTCGAAGTCCAGCCTGCGTGGTTCCCATGGGTTCTCCGGTACCATCCAGCTTACCAAGAACCCGGCTGGTAAGTCTGGCGAGAAGTTCTACGATAACTCGGCTGGTGTGTACGCTGTTTCCGGAGAGATCTCCGGCTCTGTCAGTGGCAATGAGGGCAGCTACAGCCTCTCCTGGACAAAGGCCGGAAAGCAGCCTAACGGAACTCCCTTGCTCATGTTCGCTCTGCCTCATCATGTCCACTCCTTCGACAAGGCCACTAAGAGCCGTATCACCAATATCCACCTCCGCAGCACAACAAAGGGCAATACCACCGCTGTCATTGGAGAAACATGGACCATGACGGAGCAGAACCTGCCTGTCGACATGGGCTTCGCCCCTTGGACAACCACCCATGGCAGTGTACACGACCTCTCAACCACCGCCCAGCACGCCATTCTCAAGGCCGCTCCCCACGAACTAAAGCAGAACATCTCCGAGCAAACCGACCTCAACAGCATGTACTACAGCGGCAAGGCCCTGAGCAAGTTCGCAACTCTGGTCTACACCGTCAACCAGCTAGGCAACAACGTCGACATCGCCGCGGACGCCTTCCAAGAAGTAAAGAAATCCTTCGCTCGCTTCGTGGACAACAAGCAACAATACCCACTGGCATACGACACCGTCTGGAAGGGCGTTGTCTCAACAGCCGGCTACGCTGGCGACCTGAACCAAGATTTCGGAAACACAGCGTACAACGACCACCACTTCCACTACGGCTACTTCATCCAAGCAGCAGCCATCATTGGTGCTCTTGACCCCAGCTGGCTAGCAAAGAATAAGGAGTGGGTTAACATGCTCGTCCGTGATGCGGGTAACTCCGTCGACAACGACCCTCTCTTCCCCTTCTCGCGCTCATTTGATTGGTACAACGGTCACTCGTGGGCGAAGGGTCTGTTCGAGTCTTATGATGGAAAGGATCAGGAATCCACGTCGGAGGACACCATGTTCGCGTATGCTATCAAGATGTGGGGACAGACCACCGGCGATGCAAGTATGGAAGCGCGTGGTAACATGATGCTGGGCATTTTGAGTCGCTCGCTTCACAACTATTTCCTCATGGAAGATGATAATGTTAACCAGCCGGCGAACTTCGTCAAGAACAAGGTTACTGGAATTGTGAGTATCATCGATAGTCAACAATCACCCATGTCTGTTATGAGTCAGATACTAACTCCCCATCTAGCTATTCGAGAACAAGGTCGATCACACAACCTACTTCGGTGCAAACCTGGAATACGTCCAAGGGTGCGTCTATCCCAACCAGCCTCTCCTTCGCTCTGCCCTTCTCACCCTGATCACACACTAACCAAAATCAAAATCATATAGTATCCACATGCTTCCATTGATGCCTCACACCCCCTTCACCCGCCGCAAGGAGTTCGTCCGCCAAGAATGGAACGCCATGTTCTCAGCCAATGCCTCCACACCTGCCGACAAGGTCGAGGGTGGATGGAAGGGCGTGCTATACGCCAACCTAGCCCTCATTGATCCCAAAGCCGCCTGGGAATTCTTTACCCAGCCGAACTTTGACTATAGCTGGATTGATGGTGGTGCGACGCGTACTTGGTACCTGGCTTTCGCTGCTGGTAAGTCATCTCTTTTTCCTTGTTTTGATGGGCTTGTTTTGCAAAATGCTAAAAATTTCATTAGGTCTTGGTGGCGCGCCTTGAATGTTATCTTTTTAGGTCTGAGTTGTAATGGAGTTGGAAGACCTTGTTTTACTTATTGTTTCCTTCTATTTCTTTTTTTCATGATTTTTTTGGTAGCCATTTTGTGTGCTACAATGCGTATATATTAGATTCGGCTACTGGTTAAGGTATAATTCCCCAATGGTTCTTAACTTATTAGCTGTTTTGAATTCGTAGAGAATTTGAAATGTTGCTTCGTTGATAATATATTCCACGGTGCGGTTGGCCGTAAGACTGCTATATATTTTTCCAAACTAGATTTGCTTCTTTTCCACCTCTATGTTATCGATGATAGAACTCTTTGTCTCTCATAGTCCCACCAAGCTATTAATTCAATATACCCTTCCTAAAATCTAGAGTGTAATGCTGCTAACATTGACCACTCCAGGAACAATATAAACACAGAAAACCAAAACACACTATCCCCTCCCCCTTTCGCTAACAGGAAGTTCCAAATCAACAACCCAAGGCGCATTCCTCGGCTCATACTGAACAGTAACAACACTAGCATTAACAAAGAGCGTCTCCTCCCCAACCCTCAATGGCCGTTTCGCGCGATCACTAACATCACAATACGCACCCCTGAACTCCAACATATCCTCCGGATCCCCAGGCACATCTTCAAGCTTCACACTTCCAACCTCACCCCCATCCTCATCCCAGATACCCCGCTGCGCACCCCATCCTTCATGGATATGCCCAAAGACATGCAACCGCGGTCTCGCGCGCCACGCCGCCTTCTTGAGATGTTTACAACCGACATTCAAGTCAGGCGGGACGGCATCTAGGATATCCGCTGGTGGGCCGTGTGTTAGGAGGATATCAATAGCTGGGAAATCTGGTATTGGGTTCTTGGGTGGCGGAATTGATGATCCAGAAGGAGGAATATTGAAACGGTCTTCACTGAGCGGATATCCAAATGCCCAGTTATAAAATTCGGGTTGGTAAGGCGAAGCATAAACAGTAAATGCCGCACCAGTCGACAAAGTAAACGAGTGAATGCCTTCTTCGAGGTAGAGAATGCCCGCACTCCGCGCAGCCTCACCCGTCCAGAGATCCTTAATCGAGCGGGCGTAGGCCTGTAACTCCTTCTTATCTGGGGGATTGGAAGAAGCGCGCAGAGGTGTTTGGAGGGTGTCATCGTCTGTGAGGAAGGTTGTGCTGTTGCCCAGTTCTTCGGGTCGCTTGTGGCGTTTGTAGCCGTAGCTTGTAAAGTAGTCTTCGTCTAGGGTTATGTCGTGATTGCCTGATATTACGAGTTTGAGTTCGGCGTCTGCTTCTTTGAGCATTTGGAGCATTGTTTCGTTTTCCTGGCGGTACCCCACTTTTGTTAGGTCGCCGGCGTGGAGGAGGATGTTTGCGCTTGGGAGGGGGTGGCGGTAGGCATTGTTTGTTTGCTGGGGTGGGTTTGGAGGGAGGGTGTGTGTGTCTGAGATGAGGCAAATGCGCGTTTTGATTGTTGACATGGCGGGACTGGGAGTTGGCAGTTGGCAATGGTAGTTAGAAGTGGTAGTTGGGGAGTTGTAGGAGGGGAATGAGGCGGCAGGTAGGGAGCGGCCGTATCTACAATTCAACAGTTACGGGTAAAAACAAATGAACTAGGAATAATTCCCATAGATTGACGGCTCAGAGCTCTACAGACAATTTGCATCTCATGGATGCCCAATTCATGACATAGCTGAAACTCCGATAACCACCCGTTGCAACAACACACACGCGGCCCTCGCCGAATGAGCTTTCCCGAATATTTTATTTTTTCGTTTACTTGCGGATAGCCTTCTGGTAGAAAGCAAGCTCCTCACCCTCCAGAATGTAACCGTCGACACGGCCGGACTGGCCGGGGCGAGAGGCAACAACGGCGAACAGACGACCGGACTCGAACTGGCGCTCGATGGCGGACTCAGCCTTGCCGGACTCGGCGAAGCGGGCAGCCTGCTTCTTGGCGACGGAGGAGGACTTCTTCTCCTCGGTGACCTCGGCGGTCTTCTGCTGGCGTCTACGACCAATGGGCTGGCCGTAGTGGGCCTCGAACCACTGACGGAAGGGGGCAGCGTCGATCTGAACAACGGCGGACTTGGTCAGGGTGTTTGTGCGGACCAGCTCGTTGTTGGAGGGGTGGAAGGACACTCCAATGACACGGGTCTTGCGGGAGATACCCTCGGAGCCCCACGAGAAGTTACCGGAGTCCAGACGGAGGGCACGGAACTTCTGGTTGCCACCACGGGTGCGGACAAGGTGAATGCGCTTGGAGCCAATACGGGTGTTGGCGGGCTGGCGGCCCTTCTCGAACGCTCTGTAGAACGACTGGTAAGAACATGCTCCGACATATGTGGTCCAATTCCTCGACGGAAAACTTCAATTTCAACTTGGGGGTGTAGAATCGTACCTCTTCTTGCGGTAGGAGGCGCGCTTAGCACCAGTGGCGCTGCGCTTGTGGCGAGAATCCCGAGAAATACCCATGTTTGCGGTTGATGGAGGGGTCTAAGTCGAAGGACACTGGTTAGATATGGGTCGATTGAAAGCCCTGAAGTTTTTTCCAATCCTTCTGTTTCGTCTCAAGCACCGCACAAATCAATTTTGGAATATCGGAATAGTATGGCGACAGGTTGTAGGATGGTCGAGAGTAGAGAAAAGGCGAGACAGAGTCGAAATTTGACGATTGACGATTGACATTGAATTTTGAATATTGACCAAGTGTCGAAATTGACGGCGCGAGCGAAACAGAATTTTTGAGGGCCAGGAAGGAAGATGTCGATAACTCACCTCTGAATATGCAGCCCTTCACCGGAAACGCGGATAAGTTGTCGTTGGGTTGTCGTGGGAGTTTGAGGTCGTGGAGTCGCTGAATTTCGCAGGGCGCAGTGTGTCGCTCGCTTGTGTAGTGCCCTAACCGACACTAGGCTGCTTTGGGTTTAGAGTGACCAGTCACTGACTGGGTCAGCTGATTGATGAATCAGCAGATCACGTGCACATCGGTATCAAACCTTCATTTGTGCTTAACATGAACTAACTATTATAAACTGATGTGGCATCTTATGGCTCTTTATGCTATTGCTTTATTGCATATATTTATGGACCAGCCCGTTGACTATTTAGCCAGATTATATCAAAATTAACCAGCTTTACTCGCTCTTGCCTCTCTTCGCCCTCTCCTCCTTAACGATAGCCCCAATACGCTGGAAACATCCAAAGCCCTCCACCAAGCACGACGAAACCCAAGCAAACCACAACCCCGAGAAAACCGGCACACCAAGCGGCTTCAGCCTCCAAACCGCCAACAGCGCCGATTCAAAAACATGAATAACCACAACAGCAGGAAACAGGTACGGCTGGATATTGTAGACAAAATGCGCAAAGTCAGGCACATACTTGTATCCCAAGTACTCGTAGACCACCGATCCTGGGAGCAGATTGCTGCGCTGGAAACAGCTGGCGTAGGTGAACAGACACAGAGCAAAGATTACAGCTTGGAAACCGCGGGGGCCTCGGTATTCGGTGAGGGTTACGTCGCTGCGACCTAGGCGTTTGAGGCTTTCTTTGTGCATTGCGACCATGCAGCCGCGGGCTTCGCTGTATGATTTCATTGCTGGGTCGATTGGAACATGGTAGCGGGTGCCTTTAGCTGTGATTATCAGGTTTGAGAGGTTGATGTCTTCCAATTGGGCGGTTTTGGCTTCGGTGGCTGAGATGCTGTTGTAGGCTTGTAGGAATAGGGCGAGGGAGTCTTGGTGGTCGGCATTCATATGCTTGATGATGAAGTCTTTGGAGGACATGGTATATAGTTGGGAATTGTATCAATTGGAGAGGTGATCAAGTAGAAATTGGAATTTGAACTGAGTAGAGGGAGGTCAGGAGAATATGGATCCGTGCCAAGACTCGGGCCTCGGCTTGTTTGCCATGTGTGTCTATAGTTGACTACCTAGATATACTTGACTACTGTACTTGACTTGACTGTACTCCAGTACTCCATTCATGGGATATACATAGTGGTACACGCTGTGGTGCCCCAAAAACAGACAATCCATCGTGCAGGTGCAGATATTAAACATGGCTCTATGGACAGCAAACATTGAAATCACTCGTGACGACGTCGAATCTTGGAAACAGAAATGCAAATATCGAAAATAGGATGGGTATTCACGCCCTGTTGTCGACAAAACGAGATCAACTCCTAATTCGGCCTTTGAGCAGACGTCCTCGGTAGGGGTAAGGGGGTTCTAGTGAAGAGACTTACATGAGAGCCAGGGTGAGGTCACCGTGAATACGCGCCTTCAGTTCAACTTCAATTTCCAGGTTCAGTTCCAGTCTCAACTTCATGCCCTCTTCGTCCAGCATCGACTTCTCCTCTTTGTGGAGGACGTCCATGCCGCCGTTGGGTTGGAAATTGGTGTTGTTGTTGGAGTAGGGCTGCATGGCGACATCATCGTCATCCGAGTACTCATCGTCGTATTCATCTGAACCATATTCATCTTCGTCTGTGTATTCGTCGTCGTCTTGTTGTTGCAGGGGCTTCCGGCGCTGCACCTGCTTGTTCTTTTTGGTCTGGGGGATCTCCTCTTCGTACTCTTCATCGGTATAGTCGTCGGCACTGTCATAATCTTCACCGTCGGAAAGGTCTTCCTGCACGGGGAGCTTCTTGGGCTGCTCCTTGGTCTTTTCGACGGTAGCCATAGTGGATGAAGTATATTATAGGAGGTTATAGGCGAGAGAAGAGATGGGGGAATAGAGGGAATGGGTATAGACAAGAAATGAATAGAAAGTAAACATAAAAACCTAAAAAAGAAGAGAGGGAAGCAGTATGATATCCAGTATGGGATCGGATATCAAGTCTATGCAGATGACGTTGGCGGCTTCCCGCTTCCTCCTCCTCCCACTCCCACCTGCCACCGAATGTTCAACAGACCACCCGCGTCATAGTGTCAGACAAGACTGAGGACGTGTCAATGATGGAGTCCAACGACATGCCACATGGGCACGACCGTGGAAACAATGACAGGCCTGAACCGGTCAAGTTGAAACTCGGAAAACCAGGAACCGGGCATATATTGCCCCTGTCATTTCCCCATTTCCAGTGGCTGGAAGACTGCTAAAGTGGCATTAGGGTATACAATACAGCATCCAAGGATACTAACACGTACAGGCACAACCCATCCTGACGTCGAGTCGCGTCATACTCAACGGCCTGCTACGTCTACTTAATCTATTTAAGTGGAGAGTGTCAGTGCAACAAATTTACCAATTTGTTCTATGATTGGTGCGTGGCGGCCAATAGCGGAGATATCTATTTTTTCCTTGCCGATCCACGTCTCTGGTCCAACGCATGGCCAGGGTTTGGTCTGTTTCTTGCTGATCCCACGTTGTACCAATTAAGCCGGGGTTGTCAGTTGCTCCATACGGAGGCGTTCCAGGTCCTGATTCTGACCTACACACGTCATATCGATTTCTTCACGCTGGGATTCCCCCGTCATTTCCGCCAGCCCCATCTGGACCAGATGTAAGTATACGACCGCCTTGCGACCCTCAGCCCTGGCATCTGGTGCGAGCCACAGTCGCATCCCGTCTGACGTCGGAGGCGGCTCCTGGGGACTGCGACGACCGGTTTTGACCAGCTCCATTGGCGTTTCTAATGATATAAACGGTTAGACAAGGTGTTCATTTCATATACCAATACGCACAATTACATAGTAGTTCCTGTTGCCCACCTCCTGTGACGCTTTGTCCCATATCTCGTGCTCGAATCAGTTCATATTCCCCTCCTTCCCCCTCTTGACAGCTTCTCTTCTCTCTTTCTTCTCTTTTCAATATGGCCGATCAGGATCAACCTCCTACTCCCAACCCCGATTCCACAACCACAACCCCCAACAAGCCTAAACGTGCCCCTCCCAAACTGGGCAAGAAGTCCCCCACCAAACAAGAACAGACCCCTCCCCCGTCCGAACAAGGCCAGGCCGAGGACAAGAGCGAAGACTCCGAAAAGAAACCAGAAGAGAACAACGAAGAAAATAACGAGTCCGAACCCGAGCCAGTGAAACAACAAGAGCCAGACTCAGACCAAGACGAAGACAACCAAGAACAAAACGACCCGGAACCCGAACCGGAACCCGAACCAGAGCCCAAGGAACGTCGTCGTCGCCCTCGTCCTCGCCCTCAACCCCAAGAAATGGAACAACCCCAGCAAGAACGTCGTCGCGTGCGTCGCCAGCGCCAGCCCAAGCAGCAGCAGCAAGGACAAGACGGCGGCCCGCTCGGCGGTCTTGGCGGTGTCGACCAGGCCGGCCAGCTCGTCCAGAACACAGCCGGTAATGCCCTGAACGGCGTAACTGGCAGTGCTGGCAAGGCCGTCGGTGGTGTCCTCGGCGGTGGCGAGAAGAAAGATGAAGAGGAGGATGGTGGTCGTGATGAGCAGCTTCGTCTGCGGCTGGATCTTAATCTGGATATTGAGGTCCAGCTTAAGGCGAAGATCCATGGTGATTTGACGATTGGTTTGCTGTCAGTATTACCTTTCTTTTCCTATTCTTTCCTATACTTGTCTCGACAGCTCTTTGTCGTCGCATTTCCCAATCCTAATCCTAACTCAACCCTAACCCCGATCCTCTGGTTATTAATCTCTGCTCTTACTTCTTATTCAAGTCTCTGTTGGTGCAATTCACTGACTGACGATGCAGTAATTAAATTCATCTTCTACAGCAAATAGAAGAAGTACTTATACCTCACGCCTACGTCTACGTCTATATGCTTATCCTATCTCCATCGCGATGAACACCAGCTCCATTTCCCCTCCCTTCCCCTCGGGTGGTGTTGCGTGCGCCTGAAATGACTTGTTTATGGGTTAACGTTACGGTGATGCAAGATGCATAGTCCTTATTCTTGTTCTTTTTCTCGTTATGTCCCTGTTTGTGATATCTGTTTTCTCCGGCCTATTGTGTTTCTCCTTGGCTAGGCTTATTATCATATTTCCCCTTTTTCACCATCTTACTTCTTTCTGTGTTGCGACTAGGATGTTCATTTCCCTAGATCTGGTCTGACTGTCTTGGAGTCTTGTCGTTGTACAGTAACTTTAGCCTACAAGTATTGGGTCTGGTGAAATGGATTAATTGACTGGTTCCAAGTACTTTTTTGCATTAGTACTGTAGACATGTTGGACAATGGTATTAAAATACAATGTGTCGAGACCTGCTCAGATGTATTGACCTAGTGCTCCCATACCCACCTCAGTATCTATCTACCCCCGCATCCATATCAGAAAGCAAAAAAGGAAAGCACAAACAAATCAAGTTGGACAAGTGCAATAATCTCCAGACTGTTAGGCATGTATTCGTATTTAGTGTTCCCTCTAAATTCGCCGAGAAAGGTGATATGTATGCAACCACATCTACAGCCACACACACACACACACACACACACACACACACCACATTATCGTCCCATCCTTCCCATCCCACTGTATTATCATGTGAAAAAAATCCATCGAGGAATTATCCCATTGAAAAACAAGGGTATGGTATGGTATGGTATATGCATTACTCTTCACTATCCATCAGTCTATCTATCGTCATCTGTGCAACAAGTACAGAACCAATCCTCGCCGATACGAGATGGGATCAGGCAAGCAAGAGAGGAAGGGAGAGGTGGTGAGGTGAAGGGAGAGAAAGAGGGAAAGGGAAGGGAGAACGCTCGCTCATAAGCATAAATAACGAAAAATGGAGACGAGATCGGACACCAAAGTCAAACAGACGATAGCCGCGGCCAAGAACTGAACTGGGTGTGTGGGTTTTTTCTTTTCTCTTTGTTTATCCATGTCGGTTTAGCTCTTCCAAATGAGATTGGATTGAATCGTCACACGCGCTCTCTTATAGGACAGGGCATAAGGTGCTGCTCTATAATCCCGCCACATACATCAACCCATAGCCGAGCGTGACGATGACCACGAATGACATGAGACTTGCTGGGATACCGCGGGTGAGAAAGTGGCGGACTTGGAGGTAACGCTGGCCTGTTTGGGGTACTTCGGTCATGATGGCAGCTAAGAAGAGGAGATTAGGTTAGTGGAAGGTTTACCAAGTGACAGTCCACGCGTGGGTGAGGGAACATACTCATATTGGGGAAACCACTGGTTGGCAATGCCATGGCGACGGAACACATCAAGGCGCTGGCCATGACCAACAGATTTGGGTGGGGGTTCTCCATGTTCACGCCGATTTGACGGACGAGAGGGAGGATGATCAGGGCGGCGACGGTGTGCGAGATGAAGGTTGCGATGACGAGAATCAGAGCGCTGAAGACTAACAGCACGCTGTATAGACTGAGGTGCTCGACGCGGGCTGTGATGCTTCCGGCGATGGTGTGCAGCAATCCTGAGGAGGTGACGGCCTTTCCTAGACATAGTCCACCAGCGGCGAGGATGATGATCGTCCATAGGAAGTTGTTGAAGTCCTCTTTGTTTAGGATTCCGGTTCCGAAGAAGAGAACCAAGGGGATGATGGCGATGACGCCCATGTCGCCGAAGATATGTTCAAGTTGGTGGCTGGCGCACCAGAGGGCGATAGTCATGAGGGTTACAATGCTGATGAAGTACTGCATTCCGGTGAAGCGGTCCTTGACGGGGCGGATGGGGATGACTGTTGCGTTGCGGCCCGGTTTGAAGGTTGCTAGGAGCAAGCCCCAGATGAGCAGAATGGAGATGATGCAGACGGGGAGCGCGATGAAGAACCATGTTCCCCAGCTGATGTTGGGATACATGTTCTGCAGGGCGATGATATTCTGCGGCGAGGCAATAGGGGACGCGGCACCACCAACGTTGGCAGCGAGCGCGATACCTAGCACGAGAGCCTTGGCGAAGTCCGACTCTGGGGGCAGGTTGCGCAACAGGGGCTGGATGATAGAGTAGCAGAGCACAGGCGATGCGACATTACTAATCCACATGCTCAGGAACATACTCACGAACATGTTGGTGAGCAGGACAACGGATGGCTTCGATCCGGCTTTGCTTAGCACGAACATGGCCATGCGTCGCGCAATATCATACTTGGAGAGTGCTGCGGCGATTGCGAAACCACCAAGGAGAAGCATGATGACGGGCGTCCACATCGCGGAGAACACCATGCCTACCGACTCCTTAGGCCCCAGGCGCTTATGGGGCTTGTCCTCTGACCGCATAATACCAAGTACAACAACCAGGAACGGAATCAAAAGCGAAGTGACGAACAGCGGAATGGCCTGTCAGATATTAGCATGCAATCAAAAAAGATGGAATAAGTATGTCATACCTCAGTAGCCCACAGGATGCTGACGAGAACCAACATAGCCAAGCAGTTCTGCTGCTCAGGGGTCTCCATAATCCGAAGCGAGAGCATTGCACCAAAGACAGCAATGCTCAAGACCAACGTTCCAAAGCTCAGACTACAGAACCACAGCGGGAAATGGAATCCACCCAGAGGCGTCTTGATCTCCTGGGTGCGAATTTCCTGCTTATCACCCTGGCGTCGAGCAGTGGCAGGATCCTCATCACCACCCAAAAGTGTCCGACGGATACCAACGTTCGCGGCCTGAGCACGGCGTTCGATCTCAATCATTTCACGCCAGACGGTATTCCGCTCCCAGACGACATGCTCTCGCAAGTGCAGACGCAGCTCGCGCCTAGCCAGCTGCTGGTTGCCCTTGGTGACAATGCCGGCGTACACATTCTCAACACTATCAATATGGCTATCGACAGAAGCCATGGTACTCTCGACGAAAGGCCGTGCCGGGTAGACAACGGAAGCCAGATAATCGCGGCGCAAGTTGCGGTCCAAAGTCTTGTCGTATTTCTTCAGAGCCTTGGAGAAACCAGTCTTGTTGAGTTCGATAAAAGACCGAAGCTCACAGAGCGAGACATAAACCTCGATCAGGCGCTTCTTCAACGAAATCCCGGCGTTATATAGAGCCAGGAAATCCTCATCGCTGAAATACGACTCGTGGGGCTCGCGTGCACTCGACTGGCCGAAGTAAGTCGAGTCCACCAGATCGCCGTGCTGATCATCCGTGCCAGACTCGAGATCCGTCGACTGCACCATTCTCCGGCGTTGAGCAAGCGTCGTCGGCGATCGATCATCATCGCTATCGCCCTCATCATCGGCCATCGAATCGTTGCTAGCACCACTGGATCGCCGGCGCAGATGAGAAGCACCGCTATTCCGGCGGAAGTTGGCCTTGATAATAGTCTCGCTGACCGGATCCATATTGACGCCATCCGTCTCGGAAAGATAGACATGAGCGTCCTTGATAACCTCATCAGCAAGCTCGAAGATCTCGGCCTCCTTCTTCTGATAGAAGGTGCAGATCTTATCCATCTCGGCATCAAGTGCCCGCTTAAAGATCCCATCGGGGTTACTCGTCTGAGCACCCAGCAGAGGCGCAGACTCAACATCAGTAGTGGACTGGCCCTCAGTGCGGTTGACCTGCTTCTCGAGGGTGTATATTCTAGCCACAATGCATCATTAGCACACGAAACAAATCTCCGAAGACAGTATCAGCCATGCATGCACCGCCGTACAATGTGCAATGTGACACCGACAAATCTCCCCGGATATGAGCATCGCATCGGTATCACACCGCACACAACCACCCATCTCCAATCTAAATCCCGGCAAGAGAAACAGCCAACTTACAATTTCTTCAAATTGCTATACGCAATGTAATTCGAGCTCCAATCCGGCACAGCATTAAACTGCACACTATGCGAGAACTTCATTTTGGCGATACTCCCAGATCCAGATCCAGATTCAGTTCCGGTATCGGTATCGGTATGGGAGTCGACCTTCCGCGATTCTGAAGCCTGCGCACGACGTCGAAGAGCCTCAGTCCAAAATCTCAGACGAGTAAAGCGGACACCGGGCGGCCGGCGCTGACCTTCAAAACTCTTCTCGTGGGCAGCCTCGTCCAGCTCTAGCACAAGACTAGCTAGCGCGAGCGCCTGAGAGTTGGCTGCAGGAGCAAAGGGCCTTGTATTTAAGGATGAGGGTTGAGCTGTAGCAGTGGGCCCTAGGTCCGGTCCGGTAGCGTCCTGGGAGGGGTGGTTGTACTCGACAAGTTCAATGGAATCGGGACGCGTGGGAGCCACCGTCGTTGGGAGGCCGGAGGGAGATCGGCCTGGGTCACCCAATGAATGGGGGGTGGGGAGAAGCGAGGGTTCGAAAGTGCGAAGTGGGCTAGGCTAGGTCGGGGACGGTGGAGGGTTTGTTGATAGTGTCGGGTCAGCTGCGGTTTGTGGGTTGCACGGTTGTGGATCACCCTGCGTGAAGATGGGAATTACTCCGAAACACAAGATCAACTGTCGCTTTCGCGATGTCTTCGATGACTTCAAGGACCGTTGGCGGAATGGCTGAGGTAAGCAGGTTCGGCCTATCAGGTGGGGCGCTATACAAAGCTGAGAAATGTACTCCGTAAGTTAGTTATTGAGGTACTCTGTATAAGATGTAGAGATATTCGTAGAACTGGTCTTATGCAAGGGGGATAAGCCCATCTGCTAGATCCTCCAATGGAAAGAGGGGAGGGCGCTGTATATAGAGTCTGGCTTACACTTGAAGAACTGCGACATAACATTGATACAGACCGTTAGTCAATAGCAAGGAATGACCTTGTCGAGTTGTGAAAGAAAGCCAAATCCATTTGACGGGACTAATAAATGAACTAATAAATGTACAGATGCAGAAGTGCTCATAATCCAAACCCCAGAAGAACAAATACAGACCATGGCCGTTTAACGACTGCGAACACCCAAGTTGGCACGACCAGAAATACCAATCTTGTGCTGCTGATCTCTCTTGTCCCAGACAGAGCTACGGCCCTCAGCGACGGCCACCAGCTCAGCCGCAACGCGGTGCGCGAACAGAGCATCCTTGCGCTTGTCCGACTGGTCGAGAATCCACTTGATAGCGGTGCGGCGACGCTGGCGCAGAGTCAGCGGGTGGGGGATCTGCACCGCAGTACCACCACCGGCGATACCCTTCTGCTGGCGGATTCGGAAAAGAGGAGCGACGGAGTCGACGATCAGGGTGAGGTAGAGAACGGGGTCGAGGGGGAGTTGGGAAGCGGGAGGAGCACCAAGGAGACGGCGGCGAGGGTTTACCTGTGGGGGGCGGCGGTGCGGAGGTGGTCCAGAACGATGGACATGTTCTAGACGAATTAGCCAAACCGTTCCCAGTTAAATATCCATCGGCGAGAAAGAGATGTACCTTTTGCGCCCGGGTCAGTTTCCCACTCTCCATCATCATCTTGGTAAACTGGTCCTGCAGCGTATCGTAGCGTTTCCGGAAGTTCAATGTGCGAATGTTGCTAGGCAGAACAGGCTCATCGAACTTCAAGCCGGGGTTTTGCTCAAGAGCCTGCTCCTGCACCTGCTCAATCATGCTAGCAAGAGCAGCAGCAGCCTCATCGCTAGCCTCAATGCCCTGTCCAGCACCGACACCAGGAACGGGGATGGACTCGTTGTTAGGCTCAACACCCTGCACATCCGGCATGCGGCTACGAGCCGAGGTCGAGAATGAGCGCGAGCCACCGGCCTTCTTAAGTTCGTCCCGCATAATCTTGGGCATGTGCTTCATAGCATCCTTATCGCGGCTGAGGATCTGTTACACCAATACCAATATTGTTAACACGGTTCCCGGTAAGGCCTAGTCACCCTGGGAGCGGGGTGGGATATTTCTCACCTCCTCAACTGGAGTCCCTTGGTCCAGCTCTGGAGTGGAGGGGACACCATCGCACCGCTTTTCCTTATCCATAATGCGCGAGATCTCAGCAGCCTCCTCGCTAACATGGGGGAGCTGGTCCGAAGTCGGGAAGGTCTGCTCATCGGGCTGGGGCTCGACCTTCTTCGAGCCATCACGCGAAGAGTTCCATCGCTTCTGAAGGGGTACGGACTGGACAGCGCGGAATCGAGCTGGGCTGGCGATGCTCCGGGGTGAAGAGAGTGCGGGAGTGGTAGATTGGCGGAGGGCCGAGACGGCCTTGTTGGCTGTGAAGAGGTTGAGCCGTGGTGGCATTGTGGTGGCTGTGAGGATTGGCCTCGATTCAATTGTTGTCAATCGAGTTGAGTCGAGATCAACCGCTTGTTGGTGAAGTTTGCTGTCTCCGGCAAATTTCCGGGATGCGCTTAGTCATCGCCAAGACCCTTTTGTGAGGTCATGCATGAACTGTAGAAGTCTTGGAAACAGGATTGATTGTTGGAGGGTAGCGTGTAAAGTGAGTTATTGGAGGTTGTCAAGCTTTGGATATTGTTTAGCCAGGTACTTAGTTCCTGTTTTCCTATAGAATATGATACACATGGGAGTTGAGAAAACAACTATATATTCAATGTCAATGATGACCCCAACCATTTTACAATTCGTGTACTTCAAAATGAGTTATCGACTATCATACAATATAGACAAAGAATGACAAAATACCTATGGATATGGCCTAATAGATCCAACAAAGACAGCAGGATTAACGAAGGATATCAATCGACAAAAGAATCCGAGGCAACCAACACTTTTACCTATCTAGTAAATAGCGTTGCCCACAGGCATGAGCTCAGCATCATTTATAGTGTGCCGAGACATTTAGGATACATAACTGATCTTTGATTCGACGATAAGTGCCGAAGAAGCGTCTCATCACCGGGTTATATCTGCAAGGTAAAGAATCGTTCATTCCTACCTCAAGCTGATCAAAACTAGAAACATATAGACACATGAGATTTTGATGAAAATCGGAAAGTACATAAGGCACGAGATGAATACAAAGAAAAAACAGTAGTCAGTAGACAAGACAAAAAAAGAGGATATATCCACCCAAATAATGACCAAATCAAAGATCCAACCACAGCTCAACCCCGCTTAGGTAGCAACATTATCAGGATAGACATAGAAAGCCAGAGCAAGAATGAGATACATGCCAAGACACATACCACCCTCAAGGTAATTAGACTTTCCGTCCTGAATAAGAAGCGTAACAACCAAACCAGAGATAAAGAAAGCAACCGTCTCAAAAGTCTGGAAATGCAACGTCATCTCGATACCCATGATCCAGCCCAGGATAACTAAGAAGGGAGTAACAAACAGGGCAATCTGCAAACTGCTACCAATGGCCACGCCAATCGCCAGATCCATCTTATCCTTGTACGCAACGACCACGGCAGTGGCGTGCTCTGCGGCATTACCGACGATGGGGATGAGAACTAGACCAATGAATGTCTTGCTCATGCCGGTCTTCTGGACAATGCTGTCGATACTACCGACGAGGTAATCGGCGCAGATGGCAACGAGGATGGTGACGACGACCAGGGCAACAGTCGCAGCCCAGGGGGTTCAACACGCGCTCTTCTTCCTCTTCTTCTTCATCGGCGGCGCCGTTCTCGGCATCACTGGGGGTCGTCTCTTCGAAAAGGTCGGCGTGTGAGCGCAGCTGGAAGTAGAGGTACATGACGTAGATGATAAGGAGGATGATGGACGTGCCGTGCGAGAGGATGAGGATGTTCTTCTGCGCATTATCGTCCGGGCTTGTGGCGTTCTCGCCGGGCTTGGTGGTTGTGCCGTTTGAGATTGCTGCGTAGAGGGTTGCCGGGATGATGAGCGAGGCGGATGCCACAGCCATGAGGGAGGACATGGTCGATGCAACGGTACTGTTGAAGGTTTGTTCGCGGAAGCGCAGGCCACCGATGAAGAAGCAGCAGCCAAGCACGAGGAGGATATTCGAGAGAATGCTACCGAGCATGCTAGCCTGGACAACGCGGACCTGGTTATCCTTAAGAGCAACAATGCTGACCTGTACCCGAGAGACCAATTAGTACACAAATATTCCATCAGATAACCAACTCGAATCAATGGGGTCAAACTCACAATCAACTCAACAGCATTCCCAAAAGTAGCATTCATCAACCCACCAAGCGCCTGACCCATAGTAGCAGCCAACTCCTCAGTAGCAAAACTAAGCAGCGAAGCAAGCGGAATAATAGCAAAGAAATTCAACGTAAAAACAGCCGTCGAATCCCATCCTAGAGCACCAGCAACAATGCCCAGCGGCACCATGAAAAGGAGCAGATTGACGTAATCCCGCACAAGAGTCTTCCACGTCAAACGCACGACATGCATAGGCCACGCCACCCACACGCGATTATCCTTCGGGTGATGGTGATGATGTCCATGCTCCTGCTGCTCGTGTGGCCCAAGACCGGAGAAGGATGATGCCCGATGAGAGCCCAGGAGTGAGGTTTGCTCGCTCGGGCCGTTGATGTTGCCGTTGCCGGCGCTTCCTGATGACATTTTGCGGCCGGATCCGAAGCTATAGCTTCGGAATTGGGAGCGGAAGTGGACGTGGGCTGTTTGTTTGGGAATTAGTGGGTTTCCGTCACCTGACGGAGCTTTATATATGATGTAAAAGGATGAATAGGATAGTTGGTTTTGATAGGGAATGAAGGGGTCACAGGTGATTATGGGGTGATATGGGGACTTTTCCAGAAAGTCGGCAAGGAGAAGGAGATAAAGGGGAGAGAAGAGATCACTAACACATTTTTTAGGAAAAGCCAAGCTTCAAAGGAAATGAATTGGCGGGGTTCAAGCCACTGAAACCCTGGATACGCAACCTGGAGGCGACGTAACTATGGATGAGAAGAGCACAGCCTCGCAGCTTTCCAAGATGACCGGGAGCTTGGACGATCTGACTCCACTGAGCCAGTTGGCCACACACGTGATTGGCGGACTCAGTGCCAAGATTACACTGCCACAGTCGACCCAGATGCACGGACGATTTGTTTCGCATATAAAGTTGGGCAGAAGTATAACTACTAGAGTATAGACTGAGATCCTTGTAACATTAGGAAATATAGTATAGACTATGCGGAGATAGGAACTGTAACACATGGTATCTATCATAACACCAAAGCGAACCCCATCCACAGGGAAACAAAAACTCAAAAAGTCAGAAAAAAGACACTAAAAGGAGAATACATCAGGTAGTAAATCACATCAAGAAAGGATTTAAAGGAAGGTAAAGACTCAGGGGGAATGAAAAAGAGAGCCATATCGAGGTAAAAAAGAAGAGAAGAGAAGAAGAAGACGAAGAAGAAGAAGAAGAAGAAGAAGAAGAAGAAGAAGGGAAGGGAAGGGAAGGGAATGGAGAAGAGGTCATTACTCCTCCTGCAGCGTGCCATTAGCTTTGAAATCCATCCGGCTATTCTTGCGACCAACTCCCTTTCCCTTGAGCATACTGAACCGCCGGAAGACAGAGTCCCGCATGCCACTGTTATTCCCGTTGACACTGCCATTGCTGACGGGGGACAAAGGCGCCGTGCCATTCGTCGTCGTCAGTGTGACGGTGTTATTGGTACTGTCCCTTGTCGCGGGCCTGGAGTAATCACGCGTGGGGGGGAGTGTGGACCAACCACCGCTGGAAGCAGGTGCTGGGCGGTCCGGGCCGGCTGCACCGGAAGCTGTTGGGCCACGGTGTTGGGAGCCGGCGCGGCTGCGGCCATCGTGGGATTGGGCGGTTGTGTCTCGGGAGGGATTGCGCGAGGGTTTTGTTTTCAAGGAGGGTTGGGAGTCCTGGCCTGCGCCTGCGCCACCGACGGATGGGGAGGAGCCGTGCTTGTGTGCCTTGTCTCCGCCGAAGAAACTGCGTCGTTTTTCGCTGCGGCCGCCGCGGGAGTGGCTGGTTGTTCGGCTGTGGATTGTTGCCGTGTCATCGTCAGCTTCTTCTTGGTCAACTATCTGGCCCTTGCTGTCGGACTGTTGGATTGTGAAGATGGAGTTGGAGGCTCCGTGGGAACGCTTGAAGGGGTTGATGATGCTGATTCGGTGGCTGACGGATTGTCGCTCAGAACGTTTGTGCGTGTGAGCCTTGCCACGGGATGCGCGCATCAGTTCCTGCTCTGGGCTGGCGGTTCGCTGGACAGATTGGTGTCGGCGAATCTCGCTTGAGTTGGGGGATTGGCGGACTGTCTGGGTTGGCGTAGGCGAGGAGTATTCTACCGGAGTAGAGGTGAGAGAAGCCAGCTCAGGTTCAAAGACATCTTCGAAGCGGCGGAGAAGTTCAGCCTGAGTAGCTTGATGAGCGGGACGCTGGTAAAGAGATAGAGCATGCTTGATGGCCAAGGCGTGGTCGACAAGTGCGACAGCGAGCGCATTCTCCATGGGGTCTGCAGCCTCCGGCACTGCTTCTGCATCCGTAGCATCTTCGTCCACTTCCTCCAGAAGCTTCTCCCTCGCCATCTCAGCATCAGAAAGGAACTGACGATACAACGCCACACAGTTTGAAGTAGGCGATCTATTTTCCAGCAATTGCTCAAGGGCTTCAGTCAAATTAGACAGCGAAGAATCCTCACCAGACGCAGCCCGACGCTCAAGAAGCTGAAGCTCCTGCGTCTTCCGCCACGTCCGCTCAATAGCGGTCTGCAAAGGAGATAGAGCAACCTCCTGCGCAGAAATAATCTCACTGCGCCTCAGGATATTGGGGAAAGCCTCCGAAACAGTGAAGATAAACTTCTCGACATACTGCTCACGAACATCCGAGCTACTCGTGTGTCGGCGGGACGTAGCCGAGAATCGAGAAGGATCCGAGATGAGCAGATGTTCACGCACAGAGTGCGGGACCTTGGACCGTTGATAGACAGGGTGTGTCACGTCACGGTAAGCGCTGACAGCACTAATCTGCAAGAACTGGCCTTCGTAATCGGGGATCTCGCCAGCAGACGTAATCTGCGCAGTAGGGTGTTCGCGCTGCATGCGGTCCACGAACGAGGCCATGCGTTCTGACGGTGATCCCTCGAAGATGAACTCCTTGTCGCGCAGGCTGGGAGGGAATCCGAGACCCTTGTAGGCCACGCGGAAGTACCGCGGGAATTGCTTGCCGCCTTTGGCGATGCAGTCGTAGATTCGAGCCATGGAGCTCTGAGCTCGGGACAGTTTGGCAAAATCCATTGTTGTGTGCTCGTAGTGGGCTGCGAGCTCCTTGTAGCATGCCAGAGCGGGGGCCCAAGCCATGGCGTTTTCGAAGTGCTGGATCACGGAGAAGTACAGTGCCTCTCTGCGATCAAAGGCACTTTGAGCTGGTAATTCGGGAGTGAGGAGTTCTGGCATGGCCTTGTTGAGATCCCATTCGTAGAGATCTGCGTGGAACTGGAGGGCGAGACCGGCTTCGGTGAAGTTGCCTGCAGCGGCTTGCGCTTCGGCCAGTTCGTGGACGTAGCGAATGAAGATATCCTCACGACCCATGTCCTTCATGTACTCCATCAGCTTCAGAGCGTGGAGACTCTGAGTTGAGGCGCCGCTCTGAGAAGCCACCAACAGATCCAAGAGTTCATCAACAGTTCCAACAAGACTCTTGACAGCATTTGACAACAGTTCATCAGCGATGGTCTCATTCTCGAAGAGATCCAGTAGCTCGCCAACGAAGATCTTTTGGCTGACGCTTTCATTCATGTGCTTGGATTTGAAGAGGGTATCCAGACTTGAGATGATCTCAGTTTCAATGATTGAGATGTCCTGGTTCAGATCCCATTCGCTGAGAATCATAGTCTGAAGGATCTGAACAGCAACATGTCGCAGGCCGTCGTGAACACTGAGACATAGACCAACGATCGGAGGAACCAGGCCAGGAACATACTGCACCTGGTACCCACCAAGCCGCTTCAGATTGAAGCGCTCCCTCTCATCCTCTGTAGTCTCCCAGCCAATAGCTTCCCAGGTAGATTGTAGCAAGTCTGCGCCTTGCTCGCGCACATCACCAGCAATCTTCCAAACAGCTCGTCGCTTCTGCTCGGGAAATGTCTCCAGTGCCAAAACATCGCTAGAGATCACCTTGAGCAATGTTGTGAAGAATGACTCCCACAGTTTGGTATCAAATGCGTCAGCATCATCGGGTGCCGGGAGGAGGTTTTCAATTAGCAAAACAGCAATATGCTCCAGACTTTTGATGGTCGCACGGTGGTTGTACACATGAATACTGAACCAGGTCTCGGGATATGCCTCGCAATCGAGAATGGAGTTATGAGCCTCGAAAGTCTGCGCAACGAATGTTGCGAGCTCCAGCTCTTTCAAGGATGGAAGTACGGGAGACACGATCTTGGCGATAGCAGCCATGAGGGCAGAGAGCTCCACCAAAGATTCGTCAAAGCTTTGAGGAGTCTTGGCGGTCCTCATCTGGAATGGGAAAGCCTTGCTGAAAAGCAAGGACAGGTATTCCGTCTCGTCAACTCCTTCAGCTGAGATAGCACAGTATGAGGCAACTATACTGGGCATAAATCCATAGAGCTGAGGATCGGGTTGACTGAGCAATTGAGCAACAATCGAACTGCTCAATCGGACCTGATCACGATACAGGTCCGAGACAGTCGAGGTAGAACCCCAGTACGGAGCTAACCAGCCAATACAGCTGGAGATCAACGTCTGTCTCTCCTCACCGGATGCGAAGAGCTCGAATTGGGTGTAGTTCTGGATCAGAACTAGCTTATAGAGTATCAACATGCCCGTTACATCTTTGCATGAATCCATGAAACTCAAAGCAATCATAATCATTTCATCCTTGCTCAGCACCTTGGAGAGCTCGGGCAGCCAGGTATGGAAGTGCTGGACAACAAGTGTTTTGCTGCCTACCAATGCCGGTGAGGGGTTCTTCATCAAGGTCTCTAGAGACTTGAAGATTGTGTGCATGTCTCGGTTGAAGGTGGACTGCACCGCGGTGATGCCGATGCCTTCTTCCTTGGCCTTTTGCTGTTCACGAGCCTTAATGATGAACTTCAGTAGATGGCGTCCAACCTTGAATGCAGCGCGAAGACTGCGAGATTGTTGGCCGTCGGTGCCTGCATTCAGGAGACGCAGGTAACTTCGGATGAGGCATGGGGTAACGAATGGGAAGTTGAATTGGTTATCGGCGTAGCGGTCGACCAGCGGACCGAGATTGAATCGTCGATCGTGAACAATACCCAGGACAGTGACTAGGTTATTGAAAATCAAATTCTCATATTCCTCGTTTCCAGCATTCTCGACCAGGATACCGAACAGCGCATCGAAGACACCGCTGAGCTGCTTCACGATTTCGATCTCGGGGACGAATAGCAATCGCTTGAGTGGATCCAAGACCTCGTCTACGGGACGTTCCCGCCAGTTTAGTAGACTCAGGATAACTTGGTCCTGGGAATACTCAGTGCTGCAGAGGTGAGTCTCAAGGTGAAGAGTGGCCAATGGACCAGTCACATCTTGATCCTTGGCAGATTCATTCTTGCCGAGCGCACTCCAAGGGAGGTTCAGATACGCACCCTTTCCATTCTCAATGCTGGAAGTCTGCTTGTCATAAGCATGCAATAGGAGGGAATGACGACCGTCCCTGATGAAAGCCTGGTGGTCCCAAAGGGGCATCCAAGCAAGTGCAAAGGGGAACTCAGGTGCATTCGCAACACTCATCACGATATGAGATCCTGGAATCTGCTCTGTGGGAATCTTAAGACGGATGGTCTGGTTCCAAGGTGTGCCCCGCTGAGCGATCGTGGTACGCCATGCCGTATTGCAGGTATTAGCAGACGAAGGGTATACACATTTGTCGATGCGTGCCCCCTTGGCATCACGGACCTCAAGGGTAAGTTGCAGGCTGTGGAGACCTGTTGTCGCCTGCAGAGGGATCTGAC